ATGGCGCTTTTGTTGCAGCGACGAATGCATATGGGAGGCTATGTCTAATCTGGTCGGACAATGGCTTTCTTTAATGCGGTGGCCGCGCCGCGCCATGATCAAATGCTTTTGATGGACAAACGGTCTCCAACAGCGTCCGCTGGAGGGAAACCTGGTGCAATGGTGGTCTGAGATCAACCAAGTCGGAGGGTGGGCGGACCAGCGTATTTAAGAGCTGTGCAGTTCCCAGAGGACATATGCGCTATATCTGCACACGACGTCAGTTTCAGAGCGACCCAACACATCCAATATCAAAACCATGCCGTGACCTAGCAGGGCAGCAGCCTGCATTCAACAGCCGTGCTCTGGGTCAATCGGCGCACGCTCCAGCGCGCTTGGAAGCCCTCCACAGCTAGAGCCGCGGTCGGGTTCAACGCGCCCAGGAGCAGGGGGCGGCCTGACGGGCGACACCGCAGTCGGCACGCGCCGCAGCCGCGGCCGGCTGGTCGCAGAGGCGGCCAACACTGGCCGCCTCCCGGTCACAACGCCGACGTTTGTCGCGGACAAAGAGTGGTCTCGGGGCGTTTGTGCTTGCTCAGCGCCAACAACTGGACGGCAAACAGCGCCACGGATTACGGCGCGGGCGGTTTCAAAAGCGGCGCCGTTATTGGTCGGCTCTCAAACAGAGCCGAACACGGACCGAGCGTCAGTGAAATGGGGATGTTTGATGGTATTAGCACCAGGAACACCGACGACTCCAGGTGTGTGAATTTACCGTATTTATGGGTGGGGATGGGACAATGTTGATAAAATATATCTACGTTATAGTCCGCAAAGCTTGAAGGCTTTGTGCAACAATGAATGTCTAATTGTACGAAAGCACCAGCACGGCAGTTTCTTTGGGGCGTTTTCTTGGTGTTTTCTGTGTGAAACACACCGATGATCATCAGCTGAAGCACTTCCAAACAAAAACGTGGATAAGGTGTACAGCAGCAAACGCACCGCAACCAAATGCCTTGCATCACAGTACCCTTGTAATCCTTTACATCGCGTACCAAGAACAAAATCATAGCATTCGCAACCTTGTGATTGTTGGTAAGAATATCCTGAAGCAGCACTCGAACCATTACATTTGAATACGCCACGCCTAGGAGCGTCACCGACGGCCAGTCCGTACCGCAGTCAGCGGCGTCAGCCAGTCTCAGTCCAGTCACCATTAAACCGTAGTCGCAGTCAGCGGCGTCAGCCAGCCTCAGTCCAGTCAGCCTGAAGCCGTAGTCGCAGTCAGTGAGGCTTCTCAGCCGCACATTGCGGTGCCACTCCATTTGAACGAGATAGTTTCTGACGACAATGCAGCGGAATCACCCCCCCCCCCCTCGCGAGCCTCCCATAAGCTCCAGCCCACGGCGGCCGAACAGCTGCCAATTCAGCGGAGCCGGCCGAGCGGCCAGGCCGATCTCCTCAACCGGCCGAGCACCCGGGCGATCTCCTCAGCCGGCCGGGCACGGGAGCGGCGCAGACGTGCGCGGATCATCCGCCGACGAGGAGCGCCGCGATGTTGACCGGCAGTCGACTGCGACCGCTTGTTTTCGCCGTGGCGCCGGTCGGCCCGCCCCGAGCCAGGATCGATGGCGGGCCTGGCCGGGCGGCGCAATTTCACCAGCGATTTGGTGCGTTTCGTCCGGCAGCTGACCCCCGGTCCGCCACGAGCGGGGCAAGCGACCGGACTGAATGCTGATGAACGGCCTCTGGGGTGGACATCGCGGTGCCACGCGGCCCAGCACGGCTGGCCGAGTGGGGGTGGGGGTGGGGAGGGGAGGGCGCCGCCCGGAGGCACCGTGCTGGACGGGAGGTCACTCCGGCCTGGGGAGACGATGCCTGTTGGTACCGGACAAACAGAAAATGGCCACTAATGATGTTTGCGGATGGGATGCCGGTAATGGCGGGCCGTTTGGGATCAGTGCTCATGTGGAGGGCGATCAGGTTCAACACCGACGGCTGGAATAAATAAAAGCGCTTGATTATCCGTTCATTAACTGGTCGATTAAGTCATAAATCATAAAACTGCCATTAAAGGTCTTTTACTGCGTGATGGCAGAATGAACGAGTAAATGATGAGACCAGCGAAATTTTGAGCACGAGAAATGCAGTTTTTGTACAAGGGCATGTTGGCATGTTGAATATCAACCGTACTTCAGTTGACACCAGAACCCATGCAGGTCTTACACAGAGCGTTTCAGAATGGTCAGCTAGGACTTGATACTCTAGATCTCGGTGGCAAAGGACGTGTCACAGTGCCACCATCATCGAGCTAATGCATTGGACGGGCTTATTCCAAATGCTCAGATCGCCTTCCAACTCTGATTTGGGATCGACATCAGGTCTGAAGGAGAGGGCGTGATTACAAAATACTTTGTTGTGCCAGGTACGAATCCACCGCAGTTCTGCACCGTATCTTAAGGCAAATATTGAACCGCAGAAGTTACGGATTACTCGTCAGCATGAGGCCCATAGTGAGGTCTATCTGCTTTTGCTTTCTTTTATATGTTCATGACAAGCGTGTTACAAGTAAAAGCATCGCTGCTACAGAGGCGCGTGACCGTCTGAACACAACACGTTAACTCATAGTTTGCTGATACGACTCTCTGTTTTTTCCTCCGTCAAATCTGTTACTTTCACAATGCTGCAACGCTAGGTGGTCAAAATCTAGACTCCATTTCATCCCACGTTCCGTGTTTTTATTCGGTAAAACCTTACCTGTTCTTTGGTTAACCAGCTGCAATGTTGTGGAAAAAGTTTGGTCCCTGAAACAGCTTGCACGTCAATGCCCAGCATTTGAACACCACAACCCTTGTAGACTTGGGTTTTATATTGCTGAATACTGCTTGACGCTTGCAATCCGGGGTTGCAAAGCTTGCGGCTTTCTAGAAAACGGCCGGGAAGCGCCAGATCATCCAGGGTCGGACAGTTTCCATAGTTCAAGACTTACGTACGCCGCCCTGTAGTCAGGGTGAACTTACCTCATGTGATATATGAATGTAC